AAAAAAGAATAGGCCCTTTCAAAATAGAGGAAAGAACTAGGAAGTAAAAACTAGAGAGGTAAACTATAGACATGTATATATGTAAATATATTAGTATATCAAGATAGGGGTATTGTACATATGTACATATATTTATATGTTCTACATTACGGTAGCAGACGGACTTCGGGACTCTACTGAAGTCTTCCCTCAACACAAGAGCACTTTGTTCTAATATGTGGTACTGTAAAAGCCTCCAGTAAAATGATTTTTTAAAATGGGTTCTTTCCACTCAAACATAAGTCTCCAAGACCCTGAGACCAGAACTAAATGGTGCCCTGCTACCACTCCTAACTGCTCAAAGAGGGATCACATTAGAAGGCCCAGGATGGAGGGGAAGGAAAATGAAGAGAAAAATTCAAAGTCATTAAAAAGACTAGGCTTACTGTTCGGAATGAGATGGGTATTGTCACCCTTAGTCTGAAAACGAGCTCACCCCTGACCCCCCACCATAGCTCATTTTCCAGTCAAACAATTGACAGGTCTACAAGGGAAACTGTTACACTAAGGAGGCATGCACACCTTAGAACAATCAACCACGAGCCAGTCTGGGTGCAGAATAGCACTGATGAAACATACAACTTTCTTCTAGTTCTTCAGTGCTTCCCCCCTCCCACTATCATGATCCCAATTCTACTTTACAAATCCAGGTAGACCAGAGGATGCACGCTGGTACAGATAAGAGCTGGAAACACATGGAATCCAGGACCAATAAACCCCTCAGGATTAATAATGGGAGTAGCGATACCAGAAGGGGAAGGTAGGGGAGAAAGGGGGAACCAATCACAAGGATCTACATATAGCTCCCTCCCTGGGGGACGGACAACAGAAAAGTGGGTGAAGGGAGACTTCAGACAATGTAAGACATGAAAAACTAGCAATAATTTATAAATTATCAAGGGTTCATAAGGGAGAGAGGACGGGGGAGGGAGGGGGGAAATGAGGAGCTGATACCAAGGGCTCAAGTAGAAAGCAAATGTTTTGAGAATGATGAGGGCAATAAATGCACAAATGTGCTTGACACAATGGATGATGTATGGATTGTGATAAGAGTTATACATGATTTAAAAACAACAAACAACCATTTGAGATCAAAAGGGCAGCATTGCCTTAATAAGGACCAAATTCCAGAAGGGTTAGGAGAGGAGGAGGAAGGGAAACTTGAACACAGGAAGGAAGGAGGATAAGTGAGGTTCCATTGCGGGGATTGCACTCAATGACGTGAAACAAAACAGGTACGAACGGTTGAGTGGAAAAATGATCTTCTGGGTAAGCCTTCATCCAATCCCCAACAAAATGTCAAAGTAACACCAAAAGAGATCAGTGAGTGGTGTGTGACTAAGATTGTATCGCTAGAATCTGGAACTAGATGGCGTGGACAAGTCCCTTGAAATACGAGTGCACTGGGTCTCGCAGAACCCTTCTAGCTCAGATACCTTCAGAGCAGCGGGTGGAAGGGGCTGGGACGACCTCCATTAAGTGGCTGACGGGCTCTCTCTCCCACCATGCCCAATGTGGGATCCCGGCCTCAGTTTCCCTAATCCATGCCCTCTGACCACCATTCTAAACCCTCCATGACAATGGGTTCACTGGTACATGGCAAGCCACCACGTGGCAGGGGAGCTGCTCCTGCCCGTTAGCAGGGTCTCTCTGTACCTTGAAGTTGTTTCCCTCAATAAACTGTATCTCTGCATCAACTGGGAGCAGGAAATACATCTAGAGGACTGATGGGCCAGGGCGCTGCCTCCCTTATAGGATGATGTGCTGGGAAGTCACCTGCTGACTGAGGGAAGCCACTGTGAGGAAGGAGCTTCCTGTGCCTGTGTCAGGGGAGAGGAGCTGCTCTTTGAGGAGAAGGCAGTATCAGAGTCCCTAGGAAGCTTGGGTTGCCATAAGCACTCACAAGTCTGGCTCTCTGGGATGCTGCCAACAGGTACAAGCCGGGTTACAAGCTTCTTCCAGGCCTCTGAGGCTCCTAGGCTGTAATCTGCCCCCAAGATGCCCAAGGCTGGGTTTGGATGAATATCCCCGAAACATCTCTTTAGGAAGGATGCTTCCATAGCCAGCTACTTTCCTGGGCTCCTGCACCCACTTGCTGCCATCTGTAGGCCCTGGCTGCTCACAGGCCATCCTCCCTGCACCCCCTGCAAAATGAAAAAATGCACTGCCATTCCCACTGACCCGGTATAAAGGTTTCGGAGGCAAGGAGCCGTATCTTTCTCCCAAGGAGCAGCTGGTGGTTTTGAACTGCCCACCTATGGGTAGCAGCCTACCACTTACCCAGCAGTGCTACTGGGGCTCAATCCAAGTGCTTACAGGTCCTATCAAGTCTCGCCCACTCTGGTCCCTGCCTGGCACTAAATTCCAAGCCCTTTCAATAGTGCCTTGCTGCCTTGGTGCCGATCTGTGTCCTCAAAGAACTCCAGATGGGATCACTGCAGTCTCTGGACAGCTCCGATGGGATGAGTGGTTTGATAAACAGGAAAAAGCATTTGCACCTAGTACTGGGTTAACCCACTGCCATGGAGGCACTTCTGACCCTGTAGGATAGAGTAGAAGTACTCCTTAAGGTTTCTGAGAGGATCTATTTCTATGGAAGCAGACAGCCTCCCCTTTTTCCCATAGAGCAACGGGTGCATTTGAACCACTGACCTTGGTTATCAGCTTAATGCTTAGTTCACAGTTCTACCAGGAGCCCTTGGCACTCTCTTAGCCAAAAACAAGCAGAGGGTCCATTCTGTACAGTGGTGAGCAAACTTTCTGATTTACTCATTCATTGACTCTTCTTCAGGGTTTTGAGAAACGTGTTGGAACCTGATTGCTATTCAACTTGGAAGGGCCACTACAGGTTCCTAAGCCCAAGCTCGCTGTGGTCCAAGAGGTGAAATGATGCGTTCCAGGCCACCTAGAGCAGGTCTGAAACCTGTCATTCACCTAGGCCAGGGGCTTCCAAAGTGGGTGACACTCCACCCCCTGGGGGTGCTGGAATGATCCAAACTCAAAACAACAACAAAGCCCCCAAACTCGCTGTGCACTGCGTCCATTCTGACGCACAGCAACCCCAGACGGCAGAGCAGGGCTGCCCCTGTCCTGTGGGTTTCCGAGACTGCACATCGTTACGGGAGTCGAAAGCCCGATCTGGTGGTTTCAAACCAGATGCTGGCCTTACAGTTAGCAGCCCGATGTGCCATCAGGGCCCCGAAGTAACTGTGGCCCTGGAAGCAGATCCCGACACTGTACACCAGATTATGAGGTGCAGCACATGAACTTTTCATGTAGCACATGTGCTTTTTCTAAAAGGGAGCAGTCGGCTAAATAGGCTTAGGCACCTAGAAGAGGCGATTTGATTCTCTGGCCTTCACTAGGCAGTCCATAAAGGGGCTGCCCCTGCCCCGTACTGTGGCCCGGCCTGGGGCTTACTTACTGCCATGAATGACATCCTGGGTTAGTGGAATGGCCTGGACCCCATGAAGGGCACACGCTGCTGCCGTGGACATGAAACCTTATGCAAACCCAGCCCTTTAAGGTCCCAGAGGAGAGGCCCCTCCTGCTCACTCCTGCCCCCCAGGTGTGCCCCCCAGATGCCGGGGAAACTGAGGCGCACTTACCCAGAAGTAGTCACAGTAGCTCCACTCAGTGGGTTTCAGCAGCTGCTGCTCTGGCATGGTGTCTGGGTGGGGGAAGGTCACACAGTTTATCTGCAGGGCGGGGAACAAGAGAAGAGAATGGGGTCACCCAAGGCTGGTGCTCCTGAGCACTGGTTTCAGGGCTGAGTGGTGGCTGGAACCAAACCTAGCTTCTCCCCCTGAAGCAGCAGTTCCCCACCTTCCTCACACCGCGGCCCTTTCATATAGTTCCTCATGTGGCGGTGACACCCAACCATAACATTATTTTTGTTGCTCCTTCATCACTGTCATTTTGCTACTGTTATGAATCACATGTAAATATCTGAGATTGCTGGGTGTATTTTCATTGTTACAAATTGAACATCATTAGAGCAGTGATTAATCCCCAAAACAATATGTAATTATAGATTGCGAAATATTTATTTCTAATGACAAATCAATGACATTTTGTCTGGAAGCATGGTGTAGCATGGGGAACAGTCTTCATGCCGGGTACTCATGTGGGCGAATCTGCTTGTGGGCAAACCTGCCTGGAGACGGGTAGTGACCCACAGGTTGAGGAATGCTGCCCTAAAGGCTGCTGGGACTCCCAGCCTCACGTGAACTGCTTGGAGGAGAGACCAAGGAGAAAAGAGGCCCTTCAGAGGTAATAGGGCAGATTCCATTTTGACCTGGAGGGAAACACGATGCGGAAGGCCAGACCAGGACTAAGAAGGCCCCAGAGAGCTCTAGAGATGAGTCACCAGGTGTTGTCAAGGTCCAGGTGGAGGCTTCGGGATTCTCAGGTGGGGTGGTGGTGGTGCTGTGCTCTCTCACATAAGGAGGACGCTGGCCTGCAGGCTTGTTAGAGGGCAGAGGCTACACCTCAATACCCAGGGTTAGGGATTGAATAACGTCTGTCAGAAAGATAGGTTGAAGTCCCACCCCCAGACCTGTGAAGGTGCCCTTGGTTGGATATAGGGTCCTTGAAGGTGCTATCTGGTATAGTTATGAGGTTATACCAGAATAATAGTCTACATGTTGGGGCTGCTAACTGCAAAGACAACAGTTCAAAACCACCAGGCACTTTGAGGGAGAAAGGTGAGGCTTTCTACGTGCCATCAAGAGTTAGAGTCTTATTCCCCCTGATACCCATGTCTTCCTGCTCCCGCCCCCCTTTTTGGTTGGCTACAATATGTATCCCAGGATTTGGTCTGGCCCCTGCCATACTACCTGGACCTCACCCCAAGAAGGTATGTATACAGTAGACAAGGGGAGGGTGTTGTTTATATCTCCACAGGGAAAGAGGGACCAGACTTCAACCCAGTGCTCCAAGATGTGAATGCAACGTACCAGCATGAAGCAGGGAACCAATAGAGAGTCTGAGAGGCTGGCCCCAATACCAACTATGCAGACAGTCCCCTATCCCCCCAGAAGAATTCACTTCAGAGGACATCACTGAAGCTACAACTCAAGGAGAGGGACATGTCTGATCAGAGCACACAGGAGCCAATGAAGAGGGAGGGAGAGAGAGTGGACACATCCTGGTCCACCAAGCCTTGATGACGAGATTCCTCCTCAGAGCAGTCAATGCAGAGAGAGGACCATAGGGCTGGCCCCACTCGAGACACGACATCCCTAACTGACCCATAGCCCTATGGGGGACAACACTGCCCGATCTGACCCCACCACACCGAGTTGAAACACTAAGGGCATGCAACAGAACAGCAAGGGAAGCAGAGCAATGAAGTCCCCAGGGAATACCAAAAACAGACTTTGTTTTTTGTTGTTGTTGTTTTGTTTTCGCTTGCTGCTTTGTTTTGCTGTGTCTTGTTTTTGTGCATATTATTATCTCTGCATGTCTATCTAGATAAGGTAGGCAGGATAAATAATCTGGAGGAGAAAACAATGGGACTGATGGTTCTGGGGGGACATGGGAGAGGCGGGGGGAAAGGAAGTGGGTGTTAATAAACCCAGGGACAAGGGAACAATAAGTGATCTAAAACCAATGGTGAGGAGGGTGTAGGAGGCCTGGTAGGGTGTTATCAAGGGCAATGTAACTGAGAGGAATTACTGAAGCCCAAATGAAGGCTGAGCATGATACTGGGGCAAGAGGAAAGAAAAGGAAAGGAAATAGAGGAAAGAACTAGGATTCAAAGGGCATTTATAGAGGTCTAAATACAGGCATGTACATATGTAAATATATTATATATGATGATGGGGAACTAGATCTATGTATATATTTATAGGTTTAGTATTAAGGTAGCAGATGGACATTGGGTCTCTACCCAAGTACTCCCTCAATGCAACCCCCTCTATCATGACCCCACTTCTACCTCACAAATTTGGCTAGACCAGAGGATGTACATGTGTATAGACAAGAGCTGGAAACACAGGTATCCAGGAGAGATAACCCCTCAGGACCAATATCGAGAGTAGCCATACCAGGAGGGGAAGGGGAAGGTGGGGGGAAAATAGGGGGAACTGATCACAATGATCTACATATAACCCCCTCCAAGGGGATGGACAACAGAAAAATGGGTGAAGGGAGACTTCAGTCAGCGTAAGACATGAAAAAAAAATCTATAAATTATCAAGGGTTCATGAGGGAGGGATGATGGGGGCGGGAGGGAGAGAAAAAAAATGAGGAGCTGATACCAAGGCTCAAGTGGAAAGAAAATGCTTTGAAAATGATGATGACAAAAAATGGTCAAATGTGCTTGACACATGGATGGATGGATAGATGGATTGTGATGAGAGTTGTACGAGCCCCCAATGAAAGGATTTATTTAAAAAAAAAGAGTTACAGTCTTGGACACCACAGGGGCAGTTCCACCTAGTCCTGGAGGGCCACTACGAGTCAGCACCGACTTGATGGCAGTGAGTGATCCAAGTGGACCGTGGAAAAGAGAACAGACACGGAGGCAGAGAAGGGTGGCCATGAGAAGCCGGACCCACGTGGTCAAGAGCACCCAGGTCTACCAGACGTTGGGAGAGGCGAGAGAGGCTCTTTTATTAAGTCTTTGGAGGTGGCATGGCTGGGCCACTTAGCTTCCAGAACTGTTGACAGTCCATTTCTGCCACTAGAGAGTGTGTGACATCTGTCACGGCAGGCCTTGGGACTCATGGGCTGCTCTAATCTTGGCTTCAGATTGGCTCCCCACGGTGGATTCAGAGCCAGAGGTGCGTCTCCTTCATGGGGGTCAACAGTCTACTCCCAACTGAGTCTAAATGTTTTCTCAAGTGCCCATCCTCTACCTCTTTCCTTTCCCTTCTTCATCCACACCACTTCCAGCATCGCCTCTTCACTGGGGGGATTTTGTTCCAACAAAGGAGGAGCTTCCTGAGGCGAGAACGAGGCTGGGCTGCGGGAGGGTCTGAGGACATGGGGGAGATAAGTTGCACTCACAGGAAGGAAGCTGCTGCTCAGCCCAGACACATCCAAGGAACGTGAAGACAGAACCCACCTGATGGCTTAATGGTCATGTGGTCCTGGGGCAGCCTGTCTAGCACACATCCTGGCCGGCCACACTCACACCCACCTGAGAGGCCACGGAAGGCCTGCAGAAGGGTGAGAATATTCCCATGTGCCAATCAGCCCCTTGGTTTTAGACCAGTGGTTCTCAACCTTCCTAATACTGCGACCCTTTCATACAGTTCCTCATGTGGTAGTGACCCCCAACCATAAAATTAGTTTCGTGGCTACTTCATCACTGTCATTTTGCTACTGTGATGAATCAGGTGACCCCTGTGAAAGTGTCGTTCGACTCCCAAAGGGGTCCCGACCCACAGGTTGAGAACTGCTGGCATACACCAACAACCTGGAGGACTTGCTAAAACAGTTTCCTGGCTCCACCCCTTCTTTCAAGCATTAAAGAGCAAAGGTGTCTGACAACTAAGGTGCATCTGGCCACACTATGGAATTTTCAATGGCCTCCTATGCACCTGAAAGCAGACCAAGGAATAGATGCGTGTGGATCACGATGCTGATGAAGAATCTTGAATGGACCACAGACTGCCAATGAACAAAGACATCTGTCTCGGAAGTACAGCCAGAGTGTTCACAGCCAGGATGGTGAGACTTCAGCTCATGAATTTTGGACATGTTATCAGGAGACATCAGTCCCCGGAGGAGGGCATCATGCTGGGTAGAGAGAGCGTGAAAAAGAGGAAGACTTTCAAGGAGCTGGATTTGACACAGTGGCTGCAAGCCTGGGCTCAAACACAGCGCTGGGTAGAAGAATGGTGGGTAGAAGAGGTGGGTAGAACAGCGCTGGGTAGAAGAGTTGGGTAGAACAGCGCTGGGTAGAAGAGTTGGGCAGAACAGTGCTGGGTAGAAGAGCTGGGTAGAACAGTGCTGGGTAGAATGGTGGGTAGAACAGCGCTGGGTGGAAGAATGGTGGGCAGAACAGCGCTGGGTAGAAGAATGGTGCAGTACCGGGCAGCGTGTGGTGCTGTTGAACAGCTATCAGGTGCAGCTGAAGTTGTGACAACTACCCAAGTACCTGGGTCAGCAGAAAGCCACACGGTGCTCTATAAGCGAAGCAGTGGAGAGTCCTGTTTGTGTCTTCCATATGGGGGGCGGATGGAAAGCCAGAGCTTCAGGACCAAGCTCAAATGCTGGCTCCAAGACTCAGACATTCCTGAATGTCGGCTCACCCATCCCCTCAGGCAAGGGAGATGGAAACTGGTCTCCCAGTCCTCCCTCCCACCTCCTTCTGTGGGGCCCCGGACTTCTCCTTGTTGGAAGGGAAGGAAGAAGTTTGTGCTTGACACTGAAGGATCAGCACCCGGTGGGAGGAGCTCAGCACGGGGCTAGTGGGGGCTTTGTGGAAGGAAAAGGTTGAAGAAGAGATGGTAGTTAGCAAGTGCTCAGCTCTGCTAGCTGATGAGGAAGCTGGCCTCCAGTCCAGAGCAGTGCAGGGTGGTGTGCTGGGGGACTCGGAGCCTGGACTCCAGTACTCATCCACTTTGTGACCTTAACAAGTGCCCACACCATCCAAAACATCCCCCACCACACATTCCCCGGGGCCTTTCCTGTAGCC